TGTGGATATTAGCTACAAAATAAGCCTGTGGTTACGTCGTAGAACGTTTGCCACAAATAGCCACATTTTATCATTATCCACAAGCTTGACGCTACAAAAACAATTTTGTGGTCGTTCGTAGCTATCGATCAAATAGCTACAAAATACCGATCACAGCTACAAAAACAATTCGCGGCTAAAAACAGATTTTCTTGTAGTGTTAGTCAGCTTATCGAGAGTATTGACAAAAACATGGGTGATCTCTCCACAAGAAGAGAAGAGTTCTTTCAAAGCGCTCTCGACTTCATCTGCAGGAAGGGAACTGTCATATCCCCTAACGGTTACGCCATACCAACTGCAGTAATTTTTTTGCATATATGTTATCAACAAAACTATACAATATAATTTATTGATACTAGACCAAAACAAAAAACCAAAAAGCAATCAACTTACAATCTGCGGTCATTCGTATATTCGTCAATCAGAAGAAGTCTATAACGTTGTATCTCCGCGTCCTCCTCCTCTGGTTCAACTTTAACAAGAGCCTTCCATCCACCAATGTCGGTTCCATTAAGTTGCAAGGCCTTCTCTTCTGCGCCTTCTCCGAGAAGAATAACCAAAGCACGTCTGGTAAAACAAACAAACAAACAAACACTGTTTTTTTTAAGCTTAGGATGCAAGAAATTCACAACACAAATATATATCCAGAGAGACACAAACCTGTCGAGATTAGGGCTAGTTGGGTCTTCGCGGACAATAACATTAAAGACTTCGCCACATGAATTGAAGTGATTAATCAATTCACTCTTGATATCGTCCTCAGGACGACAAGTGTCGTATCCCTCCACAGAAATAATGGTTCTGAAGATACCAACAATTAACAATCAAACACACATAAAAAAAAAAAAAAGAAGAGTTTCTCCAAACAACAAATAAATAAAAAAAAGAATTACTTACGGGGGCATGTCCATGGTGAAGAGGGGCAAATAACCCTAAGCTGCCGCTTTGCGATATTTTTCCGGTTTTAGGGATTTAGGAGAGATGAGCGTCGATATTTATACACATGTTATTAGGAACATTAGGATACTTTCCATTACTTAGAGATATTACCAATTCCATTTAGGATATATGGAAATCTTGCACTACAAGATTCTTGAAAGACTTTCTTATTGACAAACAACATGATATTTTTTTTTTTTTTTGACATCAACAAACAACATGATATTTATACAAGAGATGTGGACAATATTCAGAAAACTGCACTTAAGGATGATGAAGAAAGTGGTAAGTTTGCCAAGCATTTATCCTTCTTTTTAAGTTCCTGCATTTAAGTCTTTTATGTTGCTTCCATATATATAATAATGCACCTCTGAGAAAAGAAACATTTTTTGCTTCTTTTATTCTTTATGTAGGTAGAGTGTTGCTTATTCTTTATAAAACAAACATTTACCTAAAAGATGAGAACTTTTTATATAAAAAGACCAAATAGTTTTAAAACATTTAAATGGAAAGGCAACGGTCATAATAAAAACTAATGGTGGGTCTTTGAAGACGAAGTAAGTGTTTGGATCTGATGGATCCGGCGACGCGTCGAAGAGGACGTCGCCGGAGGAGCGTCGAAGAGGACGTCGCCGGAGGAGTGTCTGGAGACGGAGAAATCGAAAGGCGTCGTGTTTTGGAGTGTGAATATTAAGTCTGATGATGGATCTTCTAAGGAAGTATTTTCCGTTGAGTTTCTGCCGCTCTCTTCCGTTAAGAAACAGCGAGCAAAGTGGCCGTTTTTGCGGTGCAAGGTATAACGGTTATTTTATAAGATCTTTTGCTATATATATCATATTTTTTTTTTTTCAAGTATGTATACCATATTAAATTACATGCATATAAAATTAATTAATCATTAGATATTAGTATAAGTTTTGCGAGGATATATATTAATGTTATTGTGGCATCCTTTCGTTTGATTACTAATATTTTGGTCTTATTTAAAATTTTGACTAACAATATGCTACCTTATATTTTTCTAACAGTGATTTAGTTAATACTTTTATTTATTAGGTCCAGATCTTCTTACATCTTCTTAAACGATGATGTAAAATATTAATATTGCTATAAATATTTCATCTACGAGAAGAATTTTACTAATATTGCTATAAATATTTCATCTACGAGAAGAAGATATCAATACTATTAAAACAAAAATACTTTTTATCTATTTGCAAGTAGTCTACCTCAAAACATTACATTTATTTAATATAATATTTAATTATATTCAAAATAAGATATCAAAAAAATAATCTTAACTACTTTTTCTGATTACATTTTAAAAATATCTTTAATATATTTTCATTTTAAAAATAAATATTTAGTGTTTTAATATTATTTTAATAATAAAAACAAAAATAATATTAAATTAAATTATAAATGAGTATTAATTCATTTTGATTTATAGAATAAAAACTAACTTTCTATAACATTTATATATAAATATTTCATATTTGTAACTAAAAATTACACAAAATAATAATTATAATATAAATTAATCAACTTTATAAATTATAAACTAAATGAATTACATTTACAAAATAACAAAATACTACCATAAGATATTAAAAAATGAAATAATTTTATATTTTAATATACATATCTAAATTAAAACATTAGGATATAAAAAATTAACATTTAATCATATGTAACTGATACATAAAATAATAATAAATTTTTTTTTTCAAACTTCCACCAAATACATAATAATATAATTATCATAGATAAAGTCTTAAAATCGTTTATACATATATATTTTTTTATAAAATAAATATTAATAATAGCTACTATTAATATTTAATTATATGATGAAACATGTTATTACTGATATTTTTATGATTATAATTTTACGGGTTATTCTAATAAACAGACAAAATATTTATCAAAACTACCTAGGATTTGATATAAATTAGAACCAAAACTCATAATATCCAACCCATATCCTAACGGGTACCTAAACGCTCGAGTCTAGCTTAAAGCCTAATTTAGATGATTTATAAATTTTTATTCAAAATTTTATGTACCTAAAAATATAAATTACATATATATATACTTTATAAAGAAACTTTTGTTTGAAAGTATATTAATTAAATTAAATTTATATAAATATAATTTTATGAAAATAAGACAATTCATTAATATAACCTGCTTTGTATTAAGTTTAATTATATTAAAAAATAAAGGTATAATATGAATCTTTTTTTAATGTTTACATTTTTATGAAGTAATATGGAAAAAACTATAATTGTAAATCATAATATACAGTTCAGTATACCATATAATCAAATAATATTAATGTCGGCTAAATTTGGTGTTGTATTTTATATTAAATTATACTCTAATATTTTATTTTAGATATGTATATTTAAATAAAAAATTATTTCTTATTTTAAATATCTTATTTTAGCATTTTGTTGTAATAAGTTGAAGTATGTTGTAAACTATATATGTATATTTTATTCTGTAAATGTTATTTCATTTACTTTATAATTTATAAAATAGTAAATAAATACGTTAATTTATTTTATAATTATTATTTTGTGTAATTTTTAATAACAAAAATATTTATATATATATATATATATATATATATATATATTTGTATATATATTATAGAAGGTTATTTCTTATTCTATAAATCAAAATGAGTTAATATTCATTTGTAATTAAACTTAATATTATTTACGATTTTTACTATTAAAATAATTTTAAACCAATAAATATTTATATATTTAATCAAATATATTAAAATATATTTTAAAATGCAATCTTAGAAAAAAATATTTAATAATATCTTTTTGATATCTTATTTTGACATTAAGATTTTGTTAAGATTATGTGTTTACTTAAATAAAATGTTCCAACCTAGAGTATTTGTGAGTAAATAAATATTGCTCTTGTTTTAGATTATGTTAACCAAATTTGAAAATTTGGAATGTATGTAGTTATTGATTAACGAAATATTTTCAAAACCTGATATATTTTTATTAAAACTATGCAAAATTTTGGATGTGGTGTTTTACATGTAAACGATAAGCTGTTGGTCATTTCGCACTTTATACAAATTATATAGGGAAAATTGTTTTTTTAAACAAAAAAAAAACAAATCTACATGATACATGGACTATATATTGGTTTGTAGATTGTGCTTTGTGTGTGCATTGGTCTTACGATTGGGTAACTTCTCTGGAAACAACTATTAATCTAATGATGGATAAGGTTTTTTTCTAGCAAAGAAAAATCTATAGATGTATACTGGAAAACTTATATGTCATATGTGCTAATTTGTTTCTATACGTATTTGTAATGTCGGTCATTTTAAAACTATATACAAGAATTACAATATATATATATTTTTTTGGTCTGAATAAGAGTTACAATATATTAATGGTAGTATAGAATTAGGGGATATCAATACAAATAAATGGCGAGATTTTTGGTAGTTTTAATGCTTTATGAATTTTAGGTTTTAAGGTAAAGTTGATGGCATAAAAAGTAATATTTTAAGAAAAATGAAAGGCAAATCTATAAAAGAGATTTTGTTTTAATAGTATTGATTTCTTGTTTCAGCAACATTTGAGAATAAAAATTTCTTGGAAATACATTGGAAACATGTGTATTTTGGAAACCTCATTCTCACAACGCGATGAATACTTAAGTTTCTATTTTTGAATCTTACAATTATGTCTTGAAACACAAAAAACAATATTTCTTTTATTATTTTAAAACAAAATCCATGCCAAATGAAAACATGTTTTGTTTTCTCACTGTTATATCGAATGAAAACATGATTTTTCTACTGTCAGAAAATTCACTTCTTAAATTAATAGTTTTTAACTTATTGAAGTTGTTACTGTAATTAACTTCTAAGAATAAGAATTAAAGTGAGACATGTAGAAATAAACTGATTTTTTAAATAGTACTCCCTCCGTTCCTAAAAGATCCATGTTCTGGAAAAAATAGTTTGTTTCAAAAAGATGTATATTCTCTGTTTTCTATGAGAAAATTACAAGTTTCAAAAAAATTAATTGATTTTATTAGATTATTATTGGCTAAAAGTTGTTGAAAATTGAAAATTACTGAAAACAATAGTGATTTAATGTGTTTTCTTAATATGTGTGAAAATACTAGAAAGTCTATCTTTTAGGAACAGAGGGAGTAGTATATATTGATATATTTATTATATTTTTTTATGATTTGAGTATGTAATTACAGAATTTTTAGTCAAAATTAATAATACTTTTTAATACGAATAAGTAAATAATCAAATCAGTTATTTTAATTATTTAACATACACCATTATATATTAGAAACCAAGATATGATAGATTTTGTTTTTAGGGAAAGTATAATTAAAAATCTAACAGTATTTATTTATCTTTAACTATTAGGATTTTGTGCCTCTTTATACTATGCATATATATTTGTTCCATGGCTAGTACTATTGATATTACATTTTTATTTAGGGTTGTGGAATTCACTACCAATCAGCCATGGAAGATTTACAACTATCTCTGTTACGACAACCTGACTTAGATCATGTTGGAAACTGCACAACAACGATTCCTTTCGACCTCATCATCGAGATACTCTCTCTACTTCCTACGAAATCGCTCCTCCGATTCCAATCTGTGTCGAAGCTGTGGTTCTGTACTATCCGCAGCAAATCTTTTGTCGACTCGTTCCTTACTAGGTCAATGACTCGACCTCGTATCCTTTTCACGTCCTATCACAAAGAGTCACAGAAGAGTTTCATTTTCTCAGCTCCTGAATATGAAAACAACGACGATGATAAATATTCTAGTGTCATGGCAAGATACGACATGACGATCTCGGATCCTGACTACTACATGATATATGGTTCTGTCAACGGTTTTTACTGCTTTGTAGGTGTTTCTTCAAACCCTCTTTGTAATTTGATCACCGTTTATAATCCCACCACTAGGCAGATTTTGAAGTTGCCAGACGTTATGTCCAACGGAAGACATGTGGACGCACTTCTTGGGTATGATCCAGTCGAAGATCAGTACAAGGTGTTGTGTGTGGTGATGTTCGAGCCTGAAAGGCAAGATAACCAACATGATTATTTTGTTTGCACTCTGAGTTCATCTCAGAAACAAGAGTGGAGAAAGATAGATAACCCCATCGGAGATAGTTACAACAGCACCGTCTTCGGACATACATGCATCGATGGTTCTCTATACTACGGAGTTGGTGAGTCAAGAATGGTTAGATTCGATGTTAGATCAGAGAAAATTGAGTTTATTAAAATACCCAAAACATCACATATCTCCACATTATACCATTCCGCTCTTATAAATTACAAAGGTAAATTGGGTGGTTTAGAACGTTCTTATACAGAAAATTTGATAACATTGTGGGTTCTTGAGGATGCTGAGAAACAAGAATGGTCGAGCATGACATGTGACTTACCTTATCAGGACGCTACACTTGCGAGTGTAGTCCCTCAAGGACTGATCCATGGGGGCGACTCCATGGTGTTTTGTCCACCATTTTGTGTTTGTTATTATGATTTTGAAAAAAAGAGTATAAGAACAGTCGAGATCAGAGGAATAGAGGATGGTGATCTCAGACTCCTTGGGTTCGGCAAGCTAATTGGTGAAACATTATGTCATCCAAGTCACATTGAGAATATTAGGTTCTTGTGAGCTATTTATTATTGTTTATCTTATTAAATACAAATACAAACAAGAAATAACCATAAGAGTTACCATTTATTTATAACATTTAAATCATTAAGAAACTTAACATTAAGCATTCTCTTAATTATTTGTCTTTTCCTAATCTGATAAATAATTTCCTAAATCAATTTTAAACAAACAATTATTTAATTACATTTTAATGAGATTGAGAAACTATATAATCATAATTTTTACATTTATTATCTTTTTCATCAAATTAAACAACCATATAACATACCTAAATTGATTTCAACCTAAATAATGTTAAAACATAAACTTAAAATAACTATTTAATAAACATGAAAAATATTCATGCTATGTTGATTAGGTAAACAATCTTAAAACCATGAAAAAATCGGTTTAGATATATTAATGTTATATTTATTGATAACTAATTAATAAACATCACAAAACAATCATAAATTTACTAGATAAATCAATTTTGGTATCTGTTTCCACTAGACAGATATCACATTTCCACTAGTACAGGACTAAACACTGGGCAGGTAACCAATTACTGTGGATCATATATCTTCTCTACTTTTCCTTTCAATTGACTCAGAAAAAATTCTCAGGATGCTCATTGTTCAATGATTTTTTCTTTGCCTCAGCGGGAAAATGCAGAAGCAAACTACGGGAGATCTCGTTCTTATAGAAGAGATGTTAGGATAGAGAGCCAATCAGCACCTCTTTTTGCTGAGAACCGGACAATGCCTCCTTCAGAGAGGCTCTTACGGATGCGATCATCTCTGACACGAGAGTTCAGCACTTATGCATTGCCAACACCTGTGGAAACATCAAGAAGTCCCTCATCTATTACTCGTCTAGCTAACAACAACAACAACAACATGGATTCTTTTCTGGTCCAATTACAAGTAAACCCTTACCTAACAAGCCTCTCTCCTCAGCACCTCGTTTATACTCTGGTCCAATCCCACGGAGTCCAGTTTCCGAGTTACCAAAAGTGTCAACATCTTCACCAACTGCTTCTTCCCCTACATTTGTCTCAACACCACTAAGAGTTTTTTTGTTGTATCTTTTGTGGTTACGGTTAGTCGGACAACGTGTTGGGTGTTCTTAAGCGAAAGATCAGTGATCTTTCATTTCAAAGGTAGGGTAAATGAAGATTAAATTAACAACAGGTGATTGTTATAATTTGAACTAATCTTGAAAAGAAAAATGTATTCGTTTCAATTTCATAAATACACGAAGAGTCCTAAGTTTGATGAAATTTGAGTTCTTGTTTTGAAGTCACTGTCTCTGTCTAGTAATACTGAAGGAGGTACCAAGTGGTTGGTCAGTTGGATATGTGGAAGATTTTCCAAGTCAGCTTCCAACTCTTTGAGATGGATGCTTTTCCAAGTCAGTTTTTCTATGTATGCTTCCAAACTCCTTGTGTTAAAAGAAGTAAAGCAACCACACACACATAAGAAAACTTTACAAAAATATTTTAATGCCAACACTAAGAATAATGCTACTGACTGTCTACCTAATCAAATCGAATTCGTAGAGAGCTAATAATAAAAGTAAAATTATTAAGAGTACGTATATCAGACACAAACGGCTCATCATACATACATAATGAGCTCTGACATTAAACATAAATAAGAAAGCCCCAAGGTTGCATTGTATTATATGTGACATGATTTATTAATTATGAAAAACACAAAGATGGAGCTTCTTGAGAGAGATTTCTATCTAGAAATCTTCTGCTTCTTAAAAGCAGCGACCTTGTCCTCGATCAAGCCGGATAACTCAATCATATGATCTACATATACAATAAACACAAGAATTCATGAGACCTTAGAAATCAAAGAAACAATTAGAAACAAAATTTTCAATGTACCTGGGATAGAGTAGCCAAAGTAAATTTCACTTTCACCGGAGAGAGAGGGAGAGGAAGAGGGAGGGGGGCGGTTAGAAAAGATTGTAGCTACGCGCCGAACAGCTATTTTGAATCCTCCTCCCACTTCACTTCCACAAAGATCCAGTGCACTAGCTTCTCCTTCTTTTTGGTGAAAATAGATATTAGTCAGCTTATCGAGAGTATTGACAAAAACATGGGTGATCTCTCCACAAGAAGAGAAGCGTTCTTTCAAAGCGCTCTCGACTTCATCTGCAGGAAGGGAAGTGTCATATCCCCTAACGGATACGCCATACCAACTGCAGTAATTTTTTTGCATATATGTTATCAACAAAACTATACAATATAATCTATTGATAATAGACCAAAACAGAAAACCAAAAAGCAATCAACTTACAATCTGCGGTCATTCGTATATTCGTCAATCAGAAGAAGTCTATAACGTTGTATCTCCGCGTCCTCCTCCTCTGGTTCAACTTTAACAAGAGCCTTCCATCCACCAATGTCGGTTCCATTAAGTTGCAAGGCCTTCTCTTCTGCGCCTTCTCCGAGAAGAATAACCAAAGCACGTCTGTTAAAACATACAAACAAACAAACACTGTTTTTTTTAGATTAGGCTGCAAGAAATTCACAACACAAATATATATCCATCCAGAGAGACACAAACCTGTCGAGATTAGGGCTAGTTGGGTCTTCGCGGACAATAACATTAAAGACTTCGCCACATGAATTCAAGTGATTAATCAATTCACTCTTGATATCGTCCTCAGGACGACAAGTGTCGTATCCCTCCACAGAAATAATAGTTCTGAAGATACCAACAATTAACAATCAAACACAGAAAATAAAAATAAAAAGAGTTTCTCCAAACAACAAATAAATAAAAAAAGAATTACTTACGGGGGCATGTCCATGGTGAAGAGGGGCAAATAAACCTAAGCTGCCGCTTTGCGATATTTTTCCGGTTTTAGGGATTTAAGAGAGATGAGCGTAGATATTTATAAACATGTTATTAGGAACATTAGGATAATTTCCATTACTTAGAGATATTACCAATTCCATTTAGGATATATGGAAATCTTGCACTACAAGATTCTTGAAAGACTTTTTTTTTTTTTTTTTTGTAGGTCCATGGAGAGGCCCAAACTAATCCCCAAGAGGAGGTGCAGCCCACGGATAGACCCTTGAAAGATTTTCTTATTGACAAACAATGTATCATATAGGGGTGGGCACTTTATCCGATACCTGAACTCGTACCCGAACCCGACCCGAAATATCTGAACCGAAATCCGAACCGAAGTAGCAAAATACCCGAACGGGTATTGAGTTAGGAGAGTTTGGATATCTGAACCCGAACGGGTAATACCCGAACCCGAACGGGTATTCGAAGATAACCGAACATATGTACATATACCTATTTATTCCTAATTTATTTGTTTCATTTTATTAAAAATATTTATATTAATGTTATATATAGTTTAAGATCAGATAATATACACATAATTGTAAAAAAAAAAATTGATTTGTTACTCATTTAAAATACATATTAAAGCTTCTTATTTCATATTTTAAACAATATGTGCATCCAAAATTCAAAAATAACAACCAAAATAATGATTTTTATTTTCAATAATTTATATTCAAACTTATTAATCGTCTAACTTATTAAACATTTTACAAACAGTTAAGTTAATAGTTAAATTTTAAATACATGAAAATTAAGTAATAAAGAATTTGAAAATTTTCTTTCAAAATCTAATTATCCAAACCCGATCTGAAATAACCGAACCCGAACTAAAAATATCCGAACCCGACCCGATATGTAAAAATACCCGAACGGGTTCTAAACTCCAATACTGAAATACCCGAAAATCCGAAATACCCGATCCGAACCCGAACAGGTACCCGAACGCACACCCCTAGTATCATACATGATATTTATACAAGATATGTGGACAATATTCAGAAAACTGCACTTAATGATGATGAAGAAAGTGGTAACTTTGCCAAGCATTTATCCTTCTTTTTAAGTTCCTGCACCTAAGTCTTTTATGTTGCTTCCATATATATAATAATGCACATCTGAAAAAAGAAACATTTTTTTGCTTCTTTTATTCTTTATGTAGGTAGAGTGTTGCTTATGCTGGGAAAATTGCAGTTTGAACTGCAAAAAACTTGTTGATAAATATGTGAGTTTTTTCAGATATGGGGCAAACTGGTTCAAGTGATTTTTACTTTGTCTAACCACCAAAAAAATTGAATTGACTGTTTCATATTGTTGATTCAGCGGTCTCATATATATATTCCAAACAATCACAATCCCTTCAGAGTCACTTCTTGAAGAACTCCGCATAGTTGAGCTAAAGTTTTGTTTAGTATGCTGGCTGATTCACCCCTTTCAAATGATGATAGTCATGTTTGTAATTGTGATGCAGGAAATGATGCGTCTTTGTGATGGATGAGTAAAGGTTGTTTCCGCCTTCCCTTCTTTTTCATTTCTAGACACCTAAACATCTATGACCGTAACTAAAATATAAAACACCTATTCTATAAGCGAGCTCCATGAGTGTCAACATCATCTCCAACTGCTTCTTCCCCTACATTTGTCTCAACACCGAAAAAAAGCGAGCTCCATGAGCTTCGTAGACCACCACCACCACAACCAAACGGCTCTGCTATGTCCTCGAGGGTATTTGGATATTCAGCAGCTTTGGTTTCCAAGAGCCAATCGCTTAGTAAACCTCTTATTTCAAATCCAGCATCTCCTCTCCCAATACCACCTGCAATCATTCGTAGCTTCTTTATACCTACCAGCAACCTTAGAGCAACAGAGTTAGATATGTCTAAGACTAGTCTGGGTTGTAATAAGTTAAGCGTTACCTCCTCGCTTCCTTTAACCCCAATGTCATTGATCCATCCACCTCCATCAGCTGCTACTGAGCACGCAGACCACCTTACCATGTCCAAACAAGAGGTAAACCATAGATTCTCTATACATTTCTCAACTTGTTCAAGTGTGAAAATCCTTAAGCGTTCTGATATTTGTTTCTAATGTGTGAATTATTGCAGAGGAGGACTTGAAGGTGTAAGCTTATAGGAGGAGGAAGACATTCTCTCTAGTTGCAGATATGTAAATATCTCTCCTGTTTTTTGTTCTGACAATGCTGAAGAAAAAAAAAACAAAGAGAGAGGCAAACAGTGATAAGGAATTGCCAAGTAATTTTGACTTTTTTTTATAATCATTCATATAGTGGCTTTATAACATTACGATTTTATTTTGAAGTCATCTTATATATTAAAACAGAAGTCACCATATCACTTTATGTGTGATTTTTTAGTTTGGACTATCTTTATAAATTTTACATATATTAATTATGATATCTTTTCATATCTTATTTTTATTGGAAATGTAAATAAATATTTGGAAACAGATTCTAACAAAATCTTTTTGCAATCTTTTAGAAATATATTTCGAAAATCAGTTATTTCAAATTTTAATTATCATCAAATAGAAATATATCATAAAACTAAATTAAAATGATATA